AAGGAAGAAAATCATATAGCTTGAGTGAGATGTGTAAAAGAAGATTTGAGGTACTAATAGTCACATCTTTGTGGATGGGAACACAGAATGTGGATTCAAAGTTATAATGGAAGAAAATATGCTTGAGTTATTTTCATAACACATACACCTGTATGCAGATTAAAGAGGCTCACCTTCCTAATAAATTGGTGAAAGTAATTTTGCAAGGAGACATACAACAAAATATTTTTCTAATTACAAGAATAACGAATTCTAACCAGTTTTTAGAGCTGGTTTAAAAATGATTTAATATTAGGAGCATATTCATGTGTTACTGCATCAAAAGAGAAAACATTATAATTTATTGGGAGTTTTAAAAAGACATTTGATAACATTCAGTGCTCCTACCTGTTTTTTAAAAAGTCTTCAAAAATAAGAGTATATGTACTTGAAATGATAATATTTTAAACCAAGAGCCAGTATCACGCTTATAGTGACGCACTAGGTATATTCCCTTTAAATTGAGAAATTAGACAAAAATATTTTCTACTAACTTTGTTCCAGATGTTTTGAACAGTACAGTAAGACATGAAGGTAAAACAAGAAATAAAACTATTGAAAAAGAAAAGACATCATTTGAGCATAATATATATGTGTATGTATGTATATATGAGGGGGACCTTTTGGGGATCTATAAGAAAATTGTGTCTTCTTACATGTTTAAGCTTTAGTCACCTTCAAAGCACTCTCCATTTTATGCAATATGCCTATTGAGATGGTTTTTCCACTACTCAAAACCGTTTTTGAACTTGTCAGTTTGAATGCTGTTTAGTGCTTCTGCCGTTTTTCGTTTCATCTCTTTCACATCGGCAAACGTTTCCCTTTGAGGACTTTTTTCATCTGGGGAAACAAAAAAAAAAAATCACTGGGGTGAGATTGGGTGAATAGGGAGGGCAGGACACAGGGACATGCTGTTTTTAAAAGGCCAAAAACCTGCGTAATAACTGTTTGTATACCTAACCCTGAGTTGTACCCCGTATCTTTATAATTAAAAACAAAAACTGCTGGACACTGAGCATGGTGTGGGCGGTTGCACTCAAAAATCACCCATCATGAAATGGGTCAACGCTTTGAAAGAATCTCAAAAAAAAATTCCCTGAAGCCAAACAGCCACTTACAGCCACACTAGCTGGGACACTGATGCCGATGGGGTCTTAAATCACTTACCCAGCAGGGGAAACCTGTACAACAAGGGTACAGTCTTCTGCTAAAAGATAATTATCTTCTTCTAAAAGGTAATTCCAGGTTTTTGGGGGTCCCACGAGTGTGTGTACACACATATATACATATGTGTGTACGTGTATCTTTAAATATATATAAAAGCTATAAGTTTTGTGTGTGTGTTTGTGTATATGTAAGTGGACATACAGTTCCTGTCGTATTTGACAAGGATACAGAAGCCGAGGGATGTGAATACTTTGAGCACAGGAGTAGAGGAGTGTATCTCCTCAGCTTTTTGTCAGGTTCTTCTTTTCCCTATGGGGCGAGGTGGAGTGGAATCTGTGAGAGCAGGAACAGAAGTCAATTTCTTGTTCTGCCTCTGGCTCCTCTGCTGGGATTATACCTCCATTCTAGAAGAAAGTGTATTAACAGTCTATGCGTGTTTGCCTAAGGGAGTATTTATAAATATTCTCTTGGTTCTTGCATGAAACTGAGCACGACCACATACATCCTCCCTGAGGCTGGGAGAGAAGGCAGAGACTGTGCCCTGGCATCCTCCTAGCAGTGTCCATCTCCAGCCCTGTGTATCTTGAGAAACTCTTCTCCCACAAATATCCAAGAGAATCTTACAATTTTGAAATGAATAAAAGAGCTCCAAAAGTGACCAGATTCACAATAAAGATGCAGAGCTCAGTGGTTTCTTGTACACTAGCAAGAATTACTTAGATAATATCATCAGGGAACGTTCTGTTTACACTGGCAGCCAAAATAAAGTTCCTAGGCGTAATACTTTTTTTAAAAAAAATCATTTACAGGTATGAAATAAACTGTATTGTGAAATAGGAAAGTATGAATAAACGGAGACACAAGTATGTTTCTGAAAGGTAATAGGCATAATACAAGAAGTTATTTTTTCTAAAACAAATTTTTGGTTAACAAAATTCTCGAAAACAAATAAGAAATAAAATTTGAAAACAATAGATTGGAATGATTTTCTCTGCCAGATATGAAAAGTTATCACAAGATTGCAGTAGGTTTAACAGTGCAGTACTGGCATGAGAGTGACAGGCAGATCAGGAGGAAGGGTAGATGGTGTTGAAACAAAAATCTTAGCATATATATAGATTAATACATGTTAGAGAATGCATGGGAGTCAGCAGAATGACTAGACTATTAAATGGGTGTGGGAAAACTGCCTTAGAAAAAAGCAAGTTGGGCATGGACACGAATATTGTTGATTTTCTCCTTTATACTTTTTCCAGTTTTTAAAATAATCGTGGGGAAGTTTTATTTATTTATTTATTTATTGTTTTTTTTTTTTTTAGTTGGAGCCTCACTCTGTCACCCAGACTGGAGTGCAGTGGCCGCTCCTGGCCACCGCAGCCTCGACCTGCTGGGCTCCGGCAATCCTTCTGCCTCAGCCTTCCAAGTAGCTGGAACTACAGGCGTGCACTACCACGCCCAGCTAATTTTTGATTTATTGTAGAGATGAGGTCTCACCAAGTTGCCCAGGCGGATCTCGAACCCGTGGGCTCAGGCAGTCCACTCACCTCAGCCTCCTCAAGTGAGGGATTACAGGCTGAGCCACCGAGCCTGGCTTCATAGGGAAGTTTTAAGCAGTGTTCCCAAAACATCCCCCAGAAGTTTATCTAATATAGAGATTAAAACACTACACAAAGCCCTGGGGGCCATCTGGGCCCTAAGCCGCTTCTGCTTCCATGTAGTTGTGTGATCCTGGATATGTTATTTTTCAATGAAAACGTCGTTTTTCTTAATTTTAAGATAAGAGGCTGGAATTGCATTTTCTGCAGTTTTCCATCCAAGTCTAGATTGTATGTTCCAAGTCTAACATCAAAGGTAACTGCCATGTGTTACAACTTTGTTTAGGGTATGGGGACGTGAAATCTGGAGTCAGACTGCCTGAGTTCTAGCCCTGGTTCCCACACTGACTAGCTGTGTGATCTTAGGAAAGTGTTTCATCTCCTCTGTATTCAGTGTCCTCAAGTAAGCATAAAACAAGCCTCAGGTAGTAACGGTGTTTCGTAGGTTTGCTGTGAGAAACAAAGCATGCCTGGAACATGACGCCTGGCATGACTCATTAGTTTTCAGTTTGAGGTGACAGGAGAATGATTCCTCCACCACCCCCCACTCAAGCATGGTGAGATAGGGGCCTTCCTCCTGACTGTTTGAAGAAGATTCTGAGACACGTTGATAGGCCCGGCATCCCATGGTCAGGAACAAAGTTCCGCAGTTAATTGATATTTATTTGCCCTTTCCTTTTCCTCTCAATCCTCAAGAAACACCATGAGAGTCTTTGAAATAGAGCCACAGTTCCCAAAAGTCTAGAGTAGTCAGAGTAACACTGGGCATTAGGACACTGAAGACTAACACGTTCAGTGGGGTCAATATTTTATCATAACGTGTTTGATAGTTAATGTTACATACACAGAGAAAGACTTTGATTTTTTTTCTCAACATATCCGTTAATATTCCCAGACAGTTTTCTCATAATACAGTTTGGAAAGTGCTAGATACCATGTAGATGAGTTTTGGCAGAAACAAAATTATGTCCAATGCTATATTATATGCAGAGTTTGATGAACGTCTAATAAAAATTGAATTCCATTGAAGTATTATTTCATTTTCCAATTATACTTTATTGATTTTTAAGAAGATGATATTTTCATTAACAGATATGATCAGTTCTTTTGTAATTTTCTGTTGATGACAGACCATCTGAAGGCTAAAGGCCCCAATACAATTATCTGCTGTTATAATTTGCACTTCTTACTACTTTATTTTTCTCTCTAGCACTTCCATAAGTGTCTCTATAGAAAGTAATACATACTAAAAGGTACCCTAAAGTTTGAAAATGGTTATATAGCCCTCTTAGTAACCAAAATTTAAGCGAAAAGGTTCTTCCATGTTCAATCCCATCTTTTCACTTCTGATGGAAGGAAAGTCAAAATCCACTCATGGTTGCTAATGGTACAGACTTATTGTGTGTTAATCCCTTGTCAGAGATCTTCCATACTTCCTGAAATACTCAGGCTGCCCTTATATGTCTTCACAGGCACTCAGGTGGGGCATGTGTTCTACAGTGACCATTTGGATCAAGGAAGGGATCACGGTTGATAGAGGCATAGTAAAACATGACCCCAAAGTGATGGGAACGGTAGGGATCTTTTATCACTGTCTGGCCTGTCAAAACAGGCAACTTCATGTACAAGATTGGGTTAGAGGGAAAGGAGGCTTGTTTATATATGTGATACGGGGAAGAGAAGACACAACTTTCCCAGCTTGATGCAGAAAATCCAAATCTGGGGCAGTGGAAAGAGAAATGGAGGTTTTATAGCCATCAGGGTTCTGGCCAGGGTAGCGGCTTCCTGGACAATTTCATGTATGACATGTTTTACAGAATAAGATATTAAACAATCTATCTTTGGAAGTTATCTCTCTTGCTCTCTCTAATCGTCAAGTTGATAATTAAATTTAGGTACATAGGGGATTTTAATTTTTTTCACAACATATTCCTTAATATTCTCTGAACAATTTTCCCTTTAAAAGTTTGGAAAGTGAAGATTTGAAAGAACAACTGGAAACTTTGGATTAGAAGCCAGTCAGTTTGAAAATGGAGATTGGCTCAGTGACTAGAAAGGTTGCCAAGACAGTGATAAAATTAGGATGATTAAGCTATTCCTGCTATTTATAAAATTTCTTAGCATTGGAGAATGGAACTATTGTGTTCAGGGAATTATTTTGTCTACTGGAGTCTAATGTTTATTTAAAATTAATTTCAGATTCTTTTAGTGACCATTATACTCACTTTGAAAGAGTTGTGAAGGCTCTTCTGATCAATGCTTTGGATGGATCTTTTCTGGGAACATTGTATGGTAAGTTAATAGTATCAATGGAACAATTTGCTTCAAGCTATTTAGAGTAAACTTAACCAAGGAGCACCATTTGTAAGGCCTCCAGTTGTTTCTCTAGGATCAACTACACCAAAATGCCACTCACCTAAAATGCTTGTTAGTGTTTATTATTTGAGATAAATGAAAAGTATAAGTCTGTGAAACGTTCTTGCCCCTAGAGAGATCACTGTGAATTTGAGGATGTGAGACATACACTCAGAGAACAGCAGGGTGCCTCAATACCCATGTGGCCAGCCTCTCGAAGCTCTGAATCTCACTGCAAGTGCCCTGCTGTTTCATGCTTTTGCGCTTTGCCTATGCTGTTCCTTCTTGGCATACAATCCCTTTGTATTCTGTAGATTTTCTAGGTAAGTATAAACTCATTTCTCCAGTGAAAGCTATCCATGACCCACTCACGTAATGCTTGTTGCTCTCATTTGTGCCACCATCACCCTGAGTATGGTGGTACTCACGTGCAGGCACTTTTCATATTGTCTCGAAAGTGTAGTTTTGCTTTCTGCCCTCATCAGAGCCTGAGAAGAACTATGCTTCATGCTTATCCATTTTCCCTGCATCTGGCACAGGATAAGCACTTAATCGACTATAAATATGTTGTGTTGAATATCTGCCTGGGAGCCAGAGAAGACTTGATTTGCAATTTCCTGAGCAAATATGTATTGAATGCCTATGATGGTCTAGGCATCATTTGAGGGCTGGGGATATGATACATGGGACTTAAAACATACTGGATTCCTGTGCTCGTGTTACTTAAAGTCTGATGAGAGAGACAGACAATAAATGAATAAACAAATATGATTTTAACTAATGAGGAGTTCTTATTTTAAAAAAAACAATAAAGTAGGGTAAGGGGAGAGAGAACGAAGGAAAGTGTCTACGGCCATACCACCCTGAGCACACCGGATCCTGCCTGACCTCAGGAGCTAAGAGGGATTGGGCCTGGTTAGCACTTGGACGGCAGAAGGAGGGCAAGTGAAATCTGCTGTGTGTTAGTCAGATTGGTCAAAGAGGGTCTCTACAGAGGTAGTTGTAAACAGAAACCGAGTGAAGCAAGAGATGGAGTGACACATGACTCCAGCAGAGGGCACAGCAAGTGCTGAGACCCTGGGGAAGGAGTCGCTTTGGGTAGTTGAGAAGTCGCTAACGGGTGTGGCTGGACAGGGTGAGACAGCAGAGAGGGAGGAGGGACGGGCTCCGAGCGGGAAGCGCAGGACGGAGCTTTGTGAGCCCTGGTGAGGTGTGTGAAGATGCGGTGATTTAAGCAGCATAATGAAGATATTCACTGGACGCATACAGAAAACATTAAGAAAAGCAGATGCGTCTACATGGAATACGTGCGCCCACTGTGAAGACAGAGACGAACGCCACGTGGTGAAGAGGGCTGAGGGGAGGCGTAGCCAGAAGAGCGAGTTCTGATGTGTTGGCAAGGGAACTGCCCCTGGGCCTGTGGGATGGGCCAACTGCAGAGGCCTCGAAAGCCTGCCCAGAACTGGAAGCTCTGGCTGAAATTCAGGGGTTAATCCTCGTCAGTTCTGTGCAACAGAATGAAAGAGATAATTTGGCAGACTTTCTCCTCTGACTTTCATTGTTATCAGAAGGTAATGTTAGCGCTTGATACTTGCGAGCACAGTCATCTTTTACCCTGTTTCCTTAATGCTCTCATGGAATGACTCTGTCACTTCATTAATTTTTTCCTAGTTTAAAATCCTGCCAGGCAACCAGGCAGCCATCTTCCTAGAACTATCAGAAGAAAGCCTTAAGTATTAAATTGTTTAAATATTTTATGTTAACAGGATGATTTTTTGTTGACTATCCCCTGAACAGATGGCACTAGGCAAAAGTCATATGCACAAGATATGTTGACATCTCTTCATTATTTGGACAACCGCTTTGTTCAGCCTCGTCTAGAGAATTTAGCTTCTAGAAGTCGTTGGAAAGAGCAATATAAGGTATACAGTTTGTTTTTTAATCTCTGGTCAAGGGATGGGGGCAGCAGATCTCTTAGGATTTTAATATCCAGACTCAGTCATCTTCTGAATATTGGCATTTCTGTGTTAAATAAGTGCCTTATTATTTCTCACCTTTTCTAAAGGCTGTTATTACTTTACTCATCCACACTAACTATATGCTCCCAATAATTAAATAGCTCCAAATGGAGAATGCCTTTCGAACCTTTCTGGGATCAGCCCATCTTTCAGAATGAGGAGATTGTCTCGTAGGGTGTTAGCTGTTGTTTCAGAAAACAGAGTTCCGTTGCCAAAGACACTTTAGAAATGGGCGCTTAACTCAAGACAGTGGCCTTACTAGAGGACTTCTGGGGGGCATTAATATGTGAATTTAATTGTGCATACTTAAGAGGGAGACATAGGATGCAATATTTCCTAAGGTTGTGGTTTACGCTATGAAGCTCCTTTTCATGAAATACCTATTACTTCTAGGATGCTTAGTTTCTATAAAACATTTGTTCGGGAAACAATGGCCTAGAAAGCGTTCAGCTTCCTTTGAGATCTTGAATTCTACCAATCTGGGGAAGCACTTTGTTCATTTATAAGATTCGCCAGATTCCATGTTGTTCTCCAGATTTCTATTGTATGCAATCTTCAAATAGTATAGAGTGTCCTACGTGATTTCTAAGTGTTTTATCTCTCCTACTTCTAGCATTCTGAACATTCTATGTTCTGATGATCAGCAAGAGGAAAAATGGAAAGATAATAGACGTTTAGGTTCTGTAGATTCTTTCCAGCACTTACATCATTCTGCCACCTTTATGTTGGGAGATTTGGTTTCATCCAAGGCCTGTTCAGCCTTGAATTACCTGGTGATAAATTAACCATAGATAATTAGGCTTAAGAGACAGATGTAGGGTTGCTGAAAGACTTCAAGTTGGAGAACAGCTTGAGTTTAGGGCTACCATCTATGTCTTTATGACTTTGAGCAAGCTTAACCTCTCTGAACCCCGGTTTCCTCCTTGAAGATGGAGAATGTTTACCTGTTCTGAAGGGAAACACTGTACTTACTTGCTTTGAAGATGCAGTGCAAGCACAGCTCTTAGAGCACGACATAAACATGTTTTCTTTAACAGAAAGAAACATAGCATCCAGAAGCATACTGGCAGCCCTGTGTCACACATCTCTTGGTATCATTTTCTCAACACCATGTGCTCACTTCATGTATCTGTGTCACGCTCTGTCAGTATTTCAGACCTTTTAATCATTCCATTGTTAGGGTGATCTGTGATGTTACTACTGTAATTGTTGTGGGAGGCCACACACTGTACTTGACTGATAAATGTCATGTGTGTTCTGACTGCTTCACCGTCTGGCCATTTTACTGTCTCTCTTCCTCCCCTTGGGCTTCTCTACTCCCTGAGACACAACAATATTGAAACTGGGTCAATCGATAACCCTAAAACGACCTCTAAGTGTTTAAGTGAAAGGAAGAGTTGCATGTCTCTCACTTTAAATCAAAAGCTAGAAATGATTAGGCTTTTTGAGGCAGGCATGCTGAAAGCTGGGATAGGGCAAATGCTAGACCCCTTGTGCCAAACAAGTAGCCATGGGGTGAATGCAAAGGAGAGTTCTTGAAGGAAGTTAAAAGTGCTACTCCAGTGAATACACAAACGATGAAAAATTGAAGACAAGTTGGCCTTATTGCTGATATGAAGACTGCTTAGTTCTGGATAGAAGATCAGTCAGCCTCAACATTCCTACAAGCCAAAGACCAATTCAGAGGAAGGCCCTGACTCTCTTTGATTCTGTGGATGCCGAAAGAGGTGAGGAAGCTGCAGAAGGAAATTTGGAAGCGAGCAGAGGCTGGTTCCTGAGTTTTAAGGAAGGAAGCCGTCAGCACCACGTAAAAGTGCAGCAAGTGCTGATGGAGAAGCTACAGTGAGTTGTCCTGAAAAACTAGCTGAGGTCATGGACGAAGGTCACTACACAAAACGACAGACTTTTTTGTGTTGATGAAATGGGCTTCATTGGAAGAAGATGCCATCCAGGACTTTATAGCTGGAAAGATGTCAGTGCCTGCCTTCAAACCTCCAGAGAGCCAGCTGACACTCTTGCTAGGGGCTCATGCAGCTGGTGACTTTAAGTGGAAGCCAATGCTCATTTACCATTCCTGAAATCTTAGGGCCCTTAAGAATTAGGTTAACTTGATTGGGCATGGTGGCTCATGCCTGTAATCCTAGCACTTTAGAAGCTGAGGTGGGAGAATTGCTTGAGCCCAGGAATTTGAGACTGGCCTGGGCAACAAAGCAAGACCTTATCCCTACAAAAAAATTTTAAAAATTAGCCAGGTGTGGTGGTGCCCACCTGTAGTCCCAGCTACTGGGGAGGTAGAGGCAGAAGGATTGCCTGAGCCCAGGAAGTTGGAGGCTATGGTGAGCCATGATCACGCCATTGCACTGCAGTCTGGGCAACAGAGAGAGACCCTGACTCAAAAAAAAAAAAAGAATTATTCTCACTTGACTCTGTCTATGCTCTGTAAATGGAGCAACAAAGCCTGGATAGCAGCACATCTGTTGGCACCATGGCTCACTGAATATTTTAACACCACTGCTGAGACCTACTTCTGCTCGGAAAAAAAGTTCCCTGTCAAAATGATTGCTTTATGACAACGCATCTTGTCACTCAAGAGCTCTGAGAGATACGGAGATATTAAGGTTATAGTCACGTCTGCTGATACAACATCCATTGTGCAACCCATGGATCAAGGAGTAATTTAGACTTTCAAGTGTTATTATTTAGGATCTACATTTCGATGAGGCATGGTGGCTCAAGCCTGTCATCCCAGCACTTTGGGAGGCCAAGGTGAGGGGATTGCCTGAGCCCACAGGTTCGAGAACAGCCTGGGCAACTTGGTGAGCCTTCTTCTCTACAACAAGTCAAAAAATTAACTGGGCATGGTACTGCACGCCTGTAGTTCCAGCTACTTGGAAGGCTGAAGTGAAAGGATCGCCTGAGCCCAGCAGGTCGACGCTGGAGTGGCTGTGAGCGTGCCATGGCACTCCAGCCTGGGCGATGGAATGAGACTCCAACTCAAAAAAATAAAAAATACATTGCAAAGGCCTTAGCTTCCATAGATAGCGATTCCTCTGATGGATCTGGACAAAGTAAATTGAAGCCCTTTGGAGAGGATTTACCACTCTAGATGCCATTAAGAACATTTGTGATTTGTGGGAGAAGTTCAAAATATCAGCATTAACAGGAGTTTGGAAGAAGTTGATTCCAACCCTTGTGGATGACTTTGAGAGCTTTGAGGTTTCTTTAGTGGAGGAAGTCACTGCACATGTGGTGTAAGTTGCAAGAGAACCAGGATTAGAATTGGAGGCTGAAGTTGGGACCGAATTGCTGCAAACTCATGGTAAAACTTGAATGGATGAGCAAAGAGAGGGGTTTCTTCAGATGAAAAGAACTCTCAGTGAAGATGTTGTAAACATTGTTGAAATGAAAACAAAAGAGTTAGAATATTACATGTTACTTAGTTGTTAAAGCAGTGGCAGGATTTGAGAGGATTGACTTCAATTTTGAAAGAAATTTTACTGAGCGTAAAATGCAACCAAATAGCATGGGAAGCTATAGAGACATCTTTCATGAAAGGAAGAGTCAGTGGATGTGATAAACTTCACGGTTATCTTTTTTATTATTATTTTAATCTGTTCTCTTTTTTTGAGTTGGAGTCTCACCTGTTGTCCAGGCTGGAGTGCAGTGGCACGCTCATGGCCACCGCAGCCTCAATCTGCTGGGCTCAGGTGATCCTTCTGCCTCAGCCTTACAAGTAGCCAGGACTGTAGGTGTGCATTACCATGCCTGGCTAATTTTTGATTTATTGTCGAGACGAGGTCTCACCAAATTGCCCAGGCTGGTCTCGAACCCGCCAGCTCAGGCAATCCTCTCCCCTTGGCCTCCCAAAGTGCTGGGATTACAGGCTGAGCTATCGAGCCCGTCCTCAGTTATCTTATTTTACGGAACTACCACAGCAGTCCTTCCCCAGACTTCAGCCACCACCGCCCTGGTGGGTCAGAATCCATCCACATCAAGGCAAGACCCTCCACCAGCAAAAATGACTACTTGCCAAAGGCTTAGATAGTTGTTGGCGTTTTTTAGCAGTATTTTTAAATTAAAGTATGTACTTTTTTTTTTTTTAGCTATAATGCTGTTGCATACTTAACAGACTACAGTATCATGTAAATATGACTTTCATGTGCATTGGAAAATCAAAAAGCTTGTGCAACTCCCTTTATTGGTTATTCGCTTTACTGTCGTGGTCTGGGACTGAACCCACAATATCTCTAGGTGTGCCTGTGCTGTATTTCTAGATTACTTAACTGTAGCCAAGTAATTTGCATGCAAAGTAAAATGTCTTATTTAATCTTCAAAGTAGGCAGGCCCGTGAGGAAAACATCACTTTGCAGGAGGTAGAGGGGTTTTGCTATGTGGCCTGGGCGGGATTCAAACTCCTGGGCTCAGGCAGTCCTCCAACCTCAGCCTCCCGAGCTGCTGAGACTGCAGGCACGTATGTCACCCCTGGCCGGAAGACACTATTATTTCCTTTGTTTTGGAGATGAGGAAACTGTAACTCAGGAAAATAAAGTGACATCATGTTCTACTGCGAGGAATTAGGCAAATATTTAGACCTAGAGTCTTTCAGACTCCACACGCCAGGCCTCTGTGCCATATTGTTTTACCATACTGTGGTAGGTTATACTGAATTTGGATAACCCAGCATTGAAATAATAACTGTAAGGTACAAGAGAACATTAACTGAAAGACTGAGTGACATAGATGAGTCGGTGAGATCTTAATTAGGATAACCTGAGTTGTGCTGAGCCGATAAAGAGGCAACATGAAAAACAAAACGAGTAAACCAGCAACAAAGCCGCAGCAGCTTGACCCAGTGAAGTCTGTTTCTCACTGAAGCATCTAGTGTGGGTCACCAGGGACGCTCTGCTCACGGCCACACGCGGAGCCCGTCTCGTTGTGTGCTTCCGTGGACACACAGTAGCCGGAAGGCGGGGGTCGCCTGTTCAGGCTGAACTTCGGCCTGTACGTGACACACACACACACCCTGCAGGGCCATAAAGTATGAGAAGTGTGACAGATGGACAGAATATTTTGTTCTGAAGCATCTCGTGTAGAAAGGAAACTGTCAGCATATTGGACACTTAATCACCGTCAGGCTGGTAGAGGGTGTGAATGTGGATTGGTAACCAGGCTAATGTGTGCCTTGGGTTCTGTTCGGATACTGTGGTCATTAGTTCTGTCATGTTTTGTCCAGGCCTTGAGTCTAAGCAGAAATACTCAGGCACAAGTGACTTCACAGCTTAATAAGGGTCGGTGTGAATGCCAAGAGTTTTCTGAGTTTGTCTACTTATTGATAACTGCACTGTTAGACTGTCCGTGTGAATACTGGACACGCAGCAATCCTAGTGCGAACTTGTTTATTTTCACAGGACTACAGAAAGTAACCCAATAGGAGGACTAAATTATTTCTGGAATATTTTTTGGAAAATAGGATGTAATTCATAGATGAAAAACGAATGTACTTTTTTCCTCGTTTTTACTAACCTAAATGAATTGTTTCCTTACACTCTCCTACACTTTTGTTTTTCATTTTTTCCTATTTCTAATGAATACCTCATTAATACTGACTAGAAATAAGAAGATAGAAAAGAAATAAATTAAAATCTATCAAGAATACTTAGTGGCAACTCATAAGTGTGAGAGACAAGATACTCATTTTTTCCTGGTCTACTTTCTTTTCATTTAATAACCAAGGTTATAATTTTTTTAAATTTAGAAATATCTTATCAAACACCTACTGTGTGCTAAAATGCCAGGGTGTTTTACTCTTTTATTTCTTTCTATTGTGATTTCTAAGATCAGTTTTAAATTGGTTAGATTCTTATTTTACTTTCATTTGTTATATTTTAACTTTATTTTCTTTGTTTTTAGGAGCGGGTAGAAAGTTATTCCAATGTGAGTATTCATTGGAAAAAACCTGAAAATTGTGCCTGCCAGGCTTGTGGATTGCATCGCTACTGTAAATATTCCGTGCATTTATCAGGAAAGTTGTATAACACCAGGACCATGGAAACTGATGATTTTATGTCACATGATAAACAGGTATTTTTGCCCTCTAATTTTAAGTTTTAGTATTTTATTTTTTGAGTTGGGGTCTCCCTCTGTGGCCCAGGCTGGAGTGCAGTGGCACAATCACTGCTCACTGCAGCCACAACCTCCTGGGCTCCTGTGATCCTTTTCCTCGACCTCCCTAGTAGCTTGGACTGCTGGCATGTCCCCCCAAGTCAAGCTAATTCTGTGGTGGGGGGGGTTGTTTTGTTTTGTTTTTGTTGTAGAGACAGGTCTTGCCAAATTGCCTAGGCTGATCTCCAACTCCTGGGCTCAAACAATCCTCCCTCCTCAGCCTCCTAAAATGCTGGGATTACAGGCATGAGCCACTGCACCTGGCCTAATTTTCAGTATTTAAAAATTTTTAGTTTAGAATGTGTGTACAAATAACTCTTAGTGTCCAAAGGAGAATTTCATCCAAGTGGAGACTTTATGGCAGATAAGTCACTGAATTGGTAATCCACAAGTAAATAACGGAAGACGACGATGCCTCTAAATGTGAGAGAATTCAGAGAATATTGTGCTTCAGCCTAGACCTTGCCAGATCCAGAGCAGTCATCGTGCCTTGAGGTGCTGCTCATGGGGACGGAGCAGACACACGGAAGAGGGAGTGTCGATGGACAGGAGCAGAGCAGCTCAGTGGGACATGCTGAGCATGCAGACACTGACTTCTTCTATTTGTGTTTTTCTGTCTATTTTATGAGTGCTACACACATAAACACAAAAATGTTAGCATGGAGAGCTTCCTCTGGGGCCTCTGCATGCCCTTGGAGAGTATGTGTTTTGGGAGAGATAATTAGACACCCAAAGTTGTCCCGGAATCCTCCCAGTCAGTTCCTAAGATGAAAATACAATATTCATCTGAATTTTCCTAAACTGAGTAGTAGTATTCCTCGTGGGCAATAATTGACCAGATTCCTCTGAGGGATTCATATAGAAAGTCTGTATGCGGGCAATGAATTCAGATTGGTCTGTAATGTTTTGTCTGGTAATCACTGTAAAATTATAAATACTTATACATGCATTATTTTTACCAACATAGTCATATGCACATTTCCTCATTGTTTAAAAACAGATCTGTAACTTTTTACGAGATGAGATACCCAGTATCCTAGCAAAAGGGATTTAATGCTTTAAGGCCCATGTCCTGCTACTCAGCTTAAATATGTTGCTGTCCATTCATGGTCCTTGCTGTGTACAGCTAATCCTGAAGAGGGAAGTGAAGTTGGAAGACCATTTCTAAAGCTCTGACACTTCTGTGAAGGAATATTCTATAGAAAATAGTTGATTCAGGCCAAGCTCAGTGGCTCAGCCTATAATCCCAACATTTTGGGAGGCCGAGGCGAGATGATTGCCTGAGCCCGCGGGTTCAAGACCAGCCCAGGCAACTTGGTAAGACCTTGTCTCTACTATAAATCAAAAAATTAGCTAGGCATGATAGCACGCACCTGTAGTTCCGGCTACTTGGAAGGCGGAAGGATTGCTGGAACCCAGCAGGTCGACTCTGGAGTGACCATGAGTATGCCGCTGTATTCCAGCCTGGGCAACGGAGTGAGATGCCAACTAAAAAAAAAATTTTTTTTAATTGATTTGGCTATCTAAAAAGTAAAAGAATAAAATTTATGAAATAAAAGCCGAGAGCATTTATTTACCAGTCATACAATGAAAAAATATAAGAGTTGACAAATATAGGGAACGATGCTTATTCTCCATGCAAAGCATACAATTAAAGCAACCTTAAGATGCCAGTTGATAGCTCTTAAAGTCACAAAGTATTTTTACATCAGAGGATAAAATGCAGTGCTGTCGAGGTGTTTTCAGTTCAGTCACGGAAAGTAAGATTCGTAGAGGAAACAAAGGGTGTGTGTATATATTTTTAACATCCTGAGCAGCTATATGTAGCTAGAGCCACAAAGCTATGCATATTCAGTGCCTATAAGTTGGTCCTGTGCAAAGCTATTCACTGAAGGCAAATGAAAGTATGAGAAATACGAAATAGCCATGAAGCTCATTGAAGCATTATGTATAATACAAAAATTGAAACTTCTCCAAGTAAAATATTAGGAGAGTGATTTAATAGCCTGCATCATAGCAATATGTGACAGAATATAGTGCAATCATTAAACTAATGTGAAGGTTATGAAGTAATGCTGAGTGAAAGTAAGATGCAAGCAGTCTACACTCTCCATGCAGCTCTATAAACATGTGTGTATATAGCTACCTGCCAACATTCAGCTAGTTACTGTGTACATGAAGAGAGTGTGATCGAAAACCTTTAATAGAAGATTACTTTCTCTACAAGTTTTTCCTTAAATGAAAGAAAGCTGATTAAAGTCTGTTTCACATCCTACTGAAATACAGTGTCAATGCCTGGGTGTAAAAAAGGAAGGAAAGGCAGAGAGAAATAAGCCCCTCCATGATCCAGGGCGTTAAAGACTGTGCCTGAGCCCTTACCCACCTCGGGTTGTTTTGAAAACGGACTCTCCACTTCATGTTGCCGCTTGTAGCTACTTAAAACGGAGGCTCTGGGATTAATTCGAGTTCTGCTTAAAGGTGCGCGTAATACTTGGGAGTAATTCACTTAGCAGTGAATTTGTTTAATGATAAAACTTTTATCCTTCCTTACCTGAGGCTGGCTTCTTGGAGAGAAAAGATGCTTTGTTGGGAAGTAGAATTAGTGAGGGAGAATTAGCCACAGCAGCGCCAGGTCAGGTACTGAGATGAGAGACCTTGGACCACCAGCCTGTGGTGACATTTGAAGGAATCGGTGAAGGAAATTACCTGGAGGAAGGAGATGGTGAAATTCGAAAGGCTGTTGGGAGAACTGAAATCAGTCTTGAGTTAATTTCCAGTTTTGCCCAGAGTCTGTCCGGACTCCTCAAGAGGCGGGTCTCTGGCGGGGAGCGGCAGGCAGCATTGCATGATGTGTCCATGCAAGACAGCAGGTCAGGGAATGTCTCGCCTCGGTCTATTGCACTGTTTCTGAGACCTAGAAAAAGAAAACAGACATCTTCCCAGACTTGCTTTTTCTTTGAGAATCGTTTTTCTTTGTTCTTCGTACTTGAACTTCCGTAAGGAACTGGCTCCTCTATATAAATGAGAGCCAACCTAGAGAAATATTTCAAAAGTGCCTACAACTTGCTTGATTGCCATCAGGCCTTCATAAAGCATGTTTCATTATCTCTCCTTGCCTTGATTTGTCATCCAGGGATAGTTTACACTTCTACATGACTTAGCTAATAAATCACACATCCGATTCTTTCTGCAGCTTTGCGAGTCAGCATCTTCTGCTTTAGGGAAATTTGGTGGCCATTTTTGTCTCTGTTTCCAGTCTCTGGGTGTGTAAAATCTCTCTTGGCTCACACCGATACTGGAGCGACTCGGTTCCTGCGTAGTGGACCAGTGGTCATGGCCATGTCTTCTTGCTTACGCTTGGACAGCACTCACCACAGCACTTGCTCTTGCTGTATCTCTGGCAGTTTTGGGATACTGCCTTTCTTGTTAGGGAGGTTTACATTTTAATGCCCAGAAATGCAACTAGGTAATTAAAAGTAGCCTCTCAATATGTCTGTAGATATTAAGGAAACTGTTCTGATGGCACAGATCAATTTTTCCTGCTTTAGCTCTTTGTGCAAGTGGAACCCTGTGGTCTAAGCTGCGCCACATCAGTTCACACAGCAAAGAAGTATGGCGGGCTGGAACAAACACTGAAAGCGGGGTGGGGCAGGGAGGCGCGTCCACGTGAGGTCTTGCCCGTGGTGAGCAGCAAGTGCTTCCTGTGAAACCCGGGGACGGTGGTGCTCCTCCACGTCATATGAGGCGCTTCCTAAAATGGGATCGTGACGTGGGGAGAAGTCGTGTGAGAACAGTTCAAGCAACTTCTGACTCGTAGCGGCAAGTAGAGGCCAGAAGGATAGGAAGTCGGCACGGAAGGAGGCAGACCATAACGTTTGGTGTTTTCAAAGGATTCTTTTGGGTCATACAGGAAAAACATGTAAAGATTTTCAAACGCCTCTCTTTCCTTCTTGTTTCAGCTTAAACGTTCTGTACAGATAAATTTCTCTTGCTTTGTAGAAATATAAATATAATGTGATGGAAATGCAAACCACGTCACTCCATGACTATATCCAGAACGTCGGTAGCAGACTCCTCCCGCTTAATTACGTCTGAAGGCAGAACGGAGACACACAGGGCATTCCCAGTAGCCACTGCAACCTTGGTGTTGTACACAGAGTGGGAGGCATTGGCAAGTGAATTGTGAAGTGTCATTTCCTTCCAGGCCTGTTTTGATAACAATGTTGAGTTGGAAAAGCTGCTTTTAATAAGCAGGCAATGTACAGTAGTACATTAGTACCCGAGTACTTCTAATAATCTGAAAAGCAGGACGGTTTTTACAAAAATATGAACATGCTTTTCATAAACCTTTGGGGCTTTGAATAAAGGTTGTAGGATATCCAGAATACCATTTCACAAGAAAACACATCGAACCTGACTTTTGCCAATCATGATATAACTGTTATTCATTTTCAGCAACACACTTCTGGTGTATCTATTGGCCATCATCACTGTGTGTTTTTATTTTATTTTATTGTCAGCAGTGTGGCTTCAGGAAAAAGATATAACTTTTTGTCAGATAGGACACAAATTACATAGATAAATATTAAAAGCATACTGCTTATCTGAACTCATTAAACCATAACCCGTTGCTTAACATAGCCATAGACACATGAGTTAGTGGGAAGTTTACTTATTCCCTTAGGTTACTCCATGAGAATGAGACTGACCATACATATTGTTTGGAACTCTTTCTGATGTAATCTACAGTCGGTGAAATAATTTAAGTTAAAATATATTTAATTTGGTCAGTGCAATGACGCAGTCTTCTTATTTTAGCTGTAGTTTTGTGTAATAAACAATAAGCCTTCAAAACACTGTGCAAGAGAAATGTTCATAAAAAAGAGTGTTCTTACTCACAGAGTTGTAGAAGTCAGTATAAACATAGAAATTAAAAGTTTCATAGCCAGGTGGGCATAAAATATCTATGTGTCTTTTTCATATGTAGCACCTAAATTAAAGCAACAAGTGCGCCTAAACCTAACGCTATTCTTTACTTTACAACTTTGGGGGGTGGCGGGAATAGTGTTTAGGAGAAGACTAACAGTACTTAATATTGGTGTGAGAGTTTGTTTCCGTTTCACATGCTGCTTATCCTGGAAAATTATTATAATCCAGGCATTTCTAACTCCATCAAGATGTACTTATGATACTTGGCATTCTTTTTCTTGCTTGCACGTATGCCACCCTCTGTGTTACAAGCCATTCCTCTCTTCCTTCCCAGTCTCAGCTAACTGTGTTTTCAAGGCTTAGTTTGAGCATCACCTGCATGGAGACCTTTCTCTTTGGGGTTGGGCTGAGCGCCCCTCCTCAGTAGCCTCTTGAAGGTGTCGTAGGCAAAGCACTTGCCACAGGGCTTTGCAGTCGCTTGTTTTTCTGCCAAGACTGGCTCTCTGATGCAGGTGAGACGTCTTTCATTTATCTATCTCCTGGGCCCAGCCCAGTGCCGGCAACATGCCAGGTGTTCAGTTTCTGACTAGTTATGTAAATAAGAGAAGGTAAAGGGTTATTGTGTAAACATCTAAAATAAGATTAATAGTGCAATTATTAGATTCCACTGTTACAGAAAATCCGAAAACCAGAAAGGATGTATAGCCATTACTGTGTTCTTCACGCCATATATCAGGTAGTAATCTTTGTTTCTTTATTTAGGTGTTCATTGTTGGCAGAATTTGTGCTGACCGTACCAGAATTTATCATAAACTGAAACACTTTAAGTTCAAACTGTACCAGGAGTGTTGCTCCATTGCAAAGAGAGAAGAAGCTGAAGATGAACAGGTTAAAGAGACAGTGGACAGAATCTTCAGTCAGTCGGAAGTACGTGACTGGATTAAGGAGGTAAGGGGAAAACATAAGCACCGTCACATGGCGTGGGTTCTGGAGCTCGTTAGCATCAGCACAAGGACGCAAATGATTAGAAGACAGCAACATTCAAAGAGAATTTCTCCTCCTTCCCTGCCTTTTTGTTTTTCTGCTTCCGCTCGTTCCTTTCATGCTTGTCATCATCCTCCCCTGAATAGATACCCCGATGTTCTCAGGTCCATTCAGCTGGTCAGGTAAATGTGCCAAGCATTGATCCTCCTCGAGCAAAGGACTTCTGCCTTTCCCTGGCACCTGTGTGTTATTTGTATTCTGGGAAGCCCCTCACTTCCCACAAGGTGTAGGCCTCACCTCTGCTCGTCTGCTTCCTGTTCTTTAGAACAGTTCTTGTGACCTGAGAGTGAAGACACACCTGGGGCCAGTCAGAGGAAAGCATCCCGGCTGCCAGTTCTGTGCTGCCTGCCTCCTTGGAGGACGGGCCTGAGCAGTGGGCACTGTGGCTGGAATTTGGGACACAGAGGGCTCGGGCCATGGCACCGGTGCTGACGCCCCATCCCGTTGGTCATTAAATCTGATTCAGTGACACAGCGAGGGTTTGCAGAGTACACTGGATTCCCGGAGAGCTGCAGGGAGCCCATGGGCCCTGGTCTGCTCGCAGACCTTGTGGACTCGTTTGTGGTTCGTGGACAGGATGCTGATGTGATTGCAGGCTCCGAAAGGAAGTCCAGTTGCTTGAATGTCAGAGAGGAAGTGCCCAGGAGATTCTCAGGCAACTTGTCAACAACCTATTTCATCTTGAAAAGAAAATTCAAGCTTGACTTGAGATCCCTTGCCTGGGCTAAAGTTGAGGGACATCTGTCGAAGAGGAAAATTAAAAAGTAAGGCAGGAGAGCTTAGGAAACAAATGTATGAGCAGAGGGAAAGAAAAGAGACCAAACCAGGAGCTTCTCAGGATGCGCCATGTTAGCAGAGGTCTCCCAGTCTAGAGAATGCCATCGCGATCGGCTTCTCTTGTGACGGTCATCCTCCACCGCAGACCACCACCCAGGGACTCACCTGCCCACTTCTTACTCCCACCCCTCGTTACTCTCCCTGCTGGCTGCCTTTTTTGTGTGTCTGCTTCTGCAGCTCTGAACGTCTTCCCCGCTTCTCTGTGCTTTTCCACCGGCCTTCAGGGAGAACGTCTCTCCCCCAGCAACTCCGTCTTCGTTCTCCTAGCAGCAGCATCGGTGCTTTTACTGGTGCCTTTAGGTGGTGCCAACCCTCCAGGGGAATAGCAATGCCTACTGGGATGCCATGTTTGTGAACAATTGGATCCTGCACCTGGAAAAATCGCTGTACCTGTCTTTTGGGGATGAGCCTTAAGCTTCTTGCAGAAACACAAAAAACATTTCCCAACCATGTACCTCAGGGAAAGCTGAACAAGGCTTGGGACTGTGGAAGGGACCTAGAATAAGGGAAATACTCTTAGGAAAAGAAAGTCAAGTGTGGCATTTTGCTAATAACATTAGCATTAGGCACTGAAGATATTTCACGATTGTGTATAAGACAATATGCACACGTTTTTCACTTAAAAGCACCAAAGAGCCTCGGTTGCTTTTTGAAATTCCTCCACTTGAAAAAAAATGTCCACAGATTTTCTTAAAAGATTTTCTGGAAATCACAGAAGTTTATAGCCCATATTTGCAGCTTCTGTGCTGTGATGAAATTTCAGAATGTGTGAAGTGCTCTGACGTTTCTCGGCCTCACTCTGCCTGGCCCTCTGCATCCCTTGCATGATCGCGCTGCACTTGCTGTGTGGCGCGAGCCTTCCTGGTCGCAGGTCCTCTCCTCTCCCCCTTCGGAGTGCTGGGCCGGGTGCTGCTCAAAGCCGTCTCCTCGGCTCTTTCTGCTCTTACTGCCCCGCGATGTCAGCCCCGTCTTTTGCCTTCGCAAACGGTTTGTTCCGACCTCTGCCCACAGCTTGGACTCCAACCCTGGCTTTTTCCTCCACTTGCCCCTTCTCCAGCCACCCTTCTTTTCCTATTCCGGGATATTCCAGCATGTCTTCCTACAGACTGGCTCAGGAGCCTGACTTCATTCTTCCTGTTCTTCCCCTGAATGGCTGAACTAGGAAGACCTTTTTGAAGCGAATGATAGTAAAAGGTCTAGACTATAAGAAAAGAACAAGCGATAGGAAAATGGCAATAAAACCAAAATATGTCATGGACATGATAATGCGAGTCTTATCCTAAAGAAGTGTTGAAGAACACACTCTAATATGACACTGGCAGAATTCTAACTTACTCCATTAAGAAGAAACTGCAAGTGATGATGGGGTTCTGGGTTTCCTGGGCAGTTGAAAAGAGGATTGTTTGGACGGGCCATGGATGCATGGACCTCAGGCAGCGAAGAAAGTGTGTCAGTAGAAGTATCGAGGGTCAGCTGATATTTAAATAAAACTATAAAACTGGTACACATGACGGTGATACTTAAAGTAAATCTACTGATATTGTTATGTAATAATTTAAAATTGTAATTGGATGTCATTCCCTTTCCTTAAACTCATCTCATTTCTACTCTTTCCCCTCTTTTTAAACGTTTCCCCCCTGCTTTTCTACCCCTTAAACTGATGTTTCTGAAAGCAGGGCCCTACCTGTCAGAATCTCCTAGAAGTCTGTGAAAATCGTGTAATCCCAGACCTATTGAATGATCGTCTGTGGGAGTGTTAAACGTCCGGTATTTTCACAACCAGATGATACATAAGTGCATTAAAAACTGAGGACCACTGCTTTAAAGTACCTGTTACACCAGATTTCTTCCTCAGCCTCTCAACGTTCTGTTGGCAGATCGGCTCCTTCCCATAGGTCTGGGCTCTGCTTCTGAGTTGAGGACGCCTGGCTCCTTTTATGTTCTGGCCCCTTGCCCGCATTCTCCCACAACTGCAACTGCTTCCATCAGTGGGTTCACTCGGCGTGGTTGGGGAGGCGCCTCGTTGTTAAAATGAGACCCAGGCCCGCCGAGTTTTCAGTGAAGGACCACGAGGGCAGCGTCTTGAGGTGGAGGGGATGGCAGAGCCATGCCAACTCTCTTTCTCTGGGTTTTGCTTTCCCTTTCTCTTGCCAGAGCTGCATACCAGTCGAGCCTTTACATCTTGGAAACAGCATGCTGTAATAGTTAGAGGCATGGGTGTAAAGATTTGCTCTGCCACTTGCTAGCAAGGAATTTGGGGGCAAGTCACTTTCTTTGTCTAAGCCTCGACTTTCTCATCTGTAAAGTGGGAACTAAACCGATAATAATAATTAGAGCTTGGATTGTGGAGATTGAATGTGTTTCATATTTTAGGCATTTAGTGTAGGACCTAGCAGTTAGTAAGTGGTCAATTAATCTTAGCTATTATTTGCAAAAAAAGCAAAGAGGGTTTTCTTTCCTTCCTGTCCTAGAATAGCTGAGATAGATTTTAATTTTCTTAGCTGAGTGGCTCACACCTGTAGGCCTAGCTATTCAGGGAGGCTGAGGTGAGAGGATGGCTTGAGCCCAGGAGTTCGAGGCTAGTCTAGGCAACTTAGACCCCATCTCTTTTTAAAGTATTAAATTCAAATATATTAATTTTCTGAAAGAAATTTTATAAGTAACAGAGAAGAGGGATATAAAGAAAAGTAGTATGAAATGCATAAAAATAGCCAAACTTTTAAAGTATAGGCTTCAAATTCTAGAGGGCTTTGCTTGTTTCTAATAAAGCCTATCTAAGTACTAGGGTCCCTGGGATATCTCCCCCTTCTGTGTGTACCTCATCCTTTCCTGAGAAGGCAGCAATGCTGGATGTCTCCTTGGGGCACGAAAAGGTTTCCTAGCCTTGTCTAGGGAATGCACTTCTCACCTTTACTTCTTAGGTCCCTGTCACCACAGACGTCAGGGTCACGGGTTCTGTCATCTCACCGAAGACAGAAGCAAAGGCCAGAGACCATGGGATGGCTAGTCTCCTCTACTGGCGGAAGCACTCTGAGCTCGTGTGTCTCCGTCCCTCTCCCAGCCTGCCTGCAGATTCTCTATTCCCGACTTAGAGGTCCCCCCGTCCTTAACGCCTCTCCTGACTTCCTGCTTGTTCTTTGCTCTGCGTCTTCTTTGCTGTCACTCAGACTGGGGCCCTTAGTAGCTCAGTTGGCACCATAGATGCGTAACGAGTTGCCAACTGTTCTGGAACAGCTGTTTGACCCATTGTGAAAGCACGCCTGGGATCGGGGCAGCCGCTCCGAACCCTTCGACCTGCCATTGCCTGGTCCTTGGGCTTCGCGCCTCCTGGTCCTTGGGCTTCACGCCTGTGTTCTCTGAGCTCAGTCTCTTTGGTTCAGTCGTATTGCTCTCTGTTCTCCTAAGAAACCTCACGTCATAGTCAAGTCCCGTTCTTTCTTGTCATGCCACTGTTGGAGGGACTCTTGTCTCCGCTAGAACACCCCTGCCACCAGCTCTTTGCCTGCCAAGTCTTTTGCCCAGGACAGCTAAATGCCACTCTTTCCTGGTCACCTCAACTAACCATGACCTCTCTTCTGAGCCCTGTAACAGTGTCTGTACCTCTTTGTGGCACTTATTACTGACTGTCACTGGTGTATTACTACTGAACTCTGTTCTTCTTAGGGGCAGGGAAAGTACCTTGTAAAACTTTGTACCTGTAGGGTCATTAGCAGAGTATTTGATCTGTGTTCAACAAATGTTGCAATTAAGTTGTTAAAGTTATTACATTTCTACCATAAGTATTATAATAGAAAAAGTGTAATTTATAACATAGCTGTGAATTAATAATAGTATTCAATTTTATCTTTTCAATGCTTTCCATGAGTTAGAAATGCTTATTTGAAATCAAGTTCTTGTTTATTATAAAATGATTTTTGTTCACAATTACCATGAAATGAACTTCCTCCTATTTGTGTCTTTAGTTTGAACAGAGCTATTTTATCTTCATTGTTTTGAGTAAAATAACTAGCTTTTTTATTGTGTATGCAGAAATATGATCAACTGCAAGATTCTCTCAACTTTGCGGATTACTTTCAAGATGAGAAGTTTGACTGAATTGTAACACATTTTCTTCAGAGAAGATTTGATAAATTCCTGTGAATGTGAAGATCAGGAATCTTGTTTCTGTGTATCATGTGACAGATTTATAAACTCTATGTATGTCTTCACGGGAAAATATCTTGTTTAAAACATATGATCATCTTGATTCCCATGAAATGCCACTCTACAGTCTAGTAAAACTTTTATCTGATGTACATAGAAAACATAAGCCTGATAATTTTTAAGTTTGTACGTGTATTTTGACATTATATAATGATGGCTTTATAACAGATGACTATCAAGTGAGTGCGTTGTTCGTGTACTGTCACTTAGTAGAAATATACTAGTTTGAAGTATGCGTTTAGACTGACACCTGTGTGTAGTTGCTGAATTCCTGTGCGCGTCTGATTGTCGTCCTTTTGAAGTGTTAATGCTCTTCACTGAAGTATTTTTGACTGTCACGTCCATCAGCGGGCCATGGAAACGCCTCAGAGCGTCATTCCATTCAGTCCTCTTGTCTCAGAACCAGACCGCGTCTGCTTCAGCTGGAGAAGAGTTTTCTCTTTTTCTAAAGTTCCTCTTTCAAATAGGCTTCAGGCCTCCAAATCTTTTAGCCCTCATATTCAAGAATAGTTTCATGATGTGTATTTTCATGCTTTATAATATTCTATTTTATTCAATTTTGTCTAGATGTTGATGACTAAGATGTATCTTATTATTTGTATCCATACCTTTTCCTTTATAAGTATATATGTTAGGGTCAGAAGATCTCAGAGAGATAAATTCTGCCAAGAACACTTTAAAAGCATATTTTTGTATCTGGGTTCCTTTGCACATCTAATTTTTTTCCATAAAATAATAAAGTAAACAGCTGCAGGATGAACAAATGGACCCTGTCTTGTTCTATATCTTCAGTTCTTAAAAGTGGTATTCTAGTGGGATTCATTCTACTCTGGAATTTTGGATACTTTTTCTAGAAGTGCTGTTTGAACTTGGGTTCATTCATCTATCATGTGATTCATGGCATGGACCTCAGTGTTTGTGTATACATTAAGTCCTGATGTGGAAATGAGTTAATAGCTTCTGCAGTTCGTTTCCTGAAATTAACCCCATTATTCTTGTAAACAAACTGGGTAGGAAAAAACCAGTGTGATGAGAATGTTGATGTGATGTTTATGATGAGTGCATACCTTTTTCAAAAGTGTGAAACGGCCAGGCTCGATGGCTCAGCCTGTAATCCCACACCTTGGGAGGCTCAGGTGAGTGGATGGCCTGAACCCGCAGGTTCGAGACCCGCCTGGGCAACTTGGCGAGACCTCCTCTCTACAATAAACCAAAAAATTAGCCGGGCGTGGTAGGGCATGCCTGTAGTTCCAGCTACTCGGAACGCTGAGGTGGAAGGATCGCCGGAGCCCAGCAGGTCGAGGCTGCGGTGGCCGGGAGCAGCCACTGCACTCCAGTCTGGGTGAGTGAGACTCCAACTCAAAAAAAAAAGTGTGAAACAGAAATTTCACATATCTGTATTCTTACTCATATTTCTCTGGCATATGATGAAGTCATCCTGAACTAAACTCTCAGGAATAAAAATGAAGCCAGAGCTGAAAGGTGAAGATGAGGGACAGCATCCAAAAAGCAGCAAGGCAGAGTTAGAGAAGCGATTGTTAAGGTGTAGGGTGAAGGGTCACAGTGCTTTGTAAAAAAGAAAGCTAGGATAAATGAAAGCACAGTCTCTAAAGCGTCTCTGGTGGCCCCTGAAGCGTCATTCTCATACCGAGCTTGAGACAACAGGAGTGGAAGGGTTCCTTCCAAATGGAACATTTTAAAAATTTATTATTATTATTATTTTTTGAGTTGGAGTCTCACTCTGTCGCCCAGACTGAGTGCAGTGGCCACTCCCGGCCACCGCTGCCTCGACCTGCTGGGCTTCGGCGATCCTTCCGCCTCCACCTTCCGAGTAGCCGGAATGACAGGCGCGCGCTACCATGCCCGGCTCATTTTTTGATTTTATTGTAGAGATGAGGTCTCGCCTGCCCAGCCGGGTCTTGAACCCACGGGCTCAGGTAATCCACTCACCTCAGCCTCCCAAAGGTGCAGGATTACAGGCTGAACTACCGAGCCCGGCCCAAAATATTATTATTTTTAATTGGATGCTATTGATTTATAAAATTAAGGCACAGATAGTTCCAGGGGCTTATCTGGGTCTGGCATCTTGTTGGTTTGAAGCACTTTTCCTATCAGAACAGCTGACTGCTGATCACAAAATGTTTATGGATAGTTTTTCTGACGTCTGAGGCCATTGTCACCAAGCATGTTTCTTCAGTGGGTGTGTGGCGAACACAAGAGGTTTAGGTGCATGATAACACCAGAAGAGTGACGAGGGTACGGGCTGTTAGGAAGTGAGGATCCGTATGCACCTGGAGACCAAAAGTTGGTACTTTATAGGAAGAAGACGGAATGTCAAAAGAATAGAGTTAACCCTTACAGGTATTATGACAGATTGTATTATTGTATCCTCATCATCAGTGTTACTGATTCAATATGACACACAGTTTTCAAGCTTGTAAATCTCACTACCTTCTCACATGACTGTGAACTTTCCACATCTGGGCATTTGCTACTATAGTGTTGGTGACTTAGTGTTAAGTAGCTGTGGATGGCAGAGAGAAGGAAGACAAATGACAAGTACTAGGGAAGTAATGCTAGAAAGAATTTATAGGCCCACACAGAAGCTTGAGGCTGACGAGAAAGAACAAAACCGTAAGGCAGGAACGTCAAGGGGGAACACAGTGTTGATTTGTAGGCAGTCGGGTGCAGTGGACCGTATTTCCCAACTTGCCTGCTCTCATGCTCAGATGGGTGGTTCTTTTTTTTTCCTTTTTTACAATTGCTATTTTAAAGATGTGGGGTAAAATTCAGGGTTAGGTATACAAGTGGTCATTGTACAGGTAAAGTTTGAGCCTCACTTTGGTCCCCACTTCACCAGGTTTGAGATCGGGTACCCTTATTGATAAAGTGCGCCCCCTCCCTTCCCTGGCAGTCTCCCACTACTGCCCATCCCTTTCTCACAGTTTTAGGATAATCGCTGAAAGTCCGCTTATGAGTGAGAACATGTGGTACTCAGTTCTTTGTGTCTGTGATAGATCACCGAGTATTACAGACTCCAAATCCATCCGAGTTGCTGCGAAGTCGTAATTTTGTCCTCCTTTACGACTGTGTAACGTTCCATCGTGTCAGATGGGTGGTTCTATCGAGCTTCCGGTCCCAGTGGGCCTCACAGGGCTTGAACTCCCAGTGTGACGGAGGGATGCTTGCAGCCCGTGAGCTGCTGGGGCTAGTCTGGCTTTCCTGTAACTCTGGATACTGGATACTAGTGGTGAAGAGAGTATGGGTGTGAAGTCAGTCTTGAGTTCACGTCCTGGTGTGTTACCTAATCTAGTTACATAAACTAGAGCAAGTAGTTTCATTTTGATGGACCTCAGGGCCCTCATTTATAAACGGGTTAACAATTCCTCTCTCAGGATTGTTTGTGGATTCAGGGAGGCCGTGCATGCAAAGTGCTGTGCCTGAAACAGTGACTTTTGAGTAGGTAGCACCCGATGAGACTGGAAATGAGGATGTTGATAAGGATGGCACTTGACATTGAATGCAGAAGGGCAAAGGTATACAAAAGATACTCCAGAGACATGTCTTCCAGCCACTGGAATGGCAAGTGAAACGCATTCTATTCCTGCTGCACAGGTTCTTAAGCTGCCTGTGTACAGCTATCACTGTAATCAGCGTGTATATCATTTAGGAATAGCTGGCTTGACTGAGGACCCTGGCACTAATCGAAGCCTGTGTTACTGCAGGGCTGTAGAGTGAATAGTAGGTCTTAAATGTAAATGCTAGATATTTTTCTCTTTTGTCCCATATGATGGCTAAGTATAAAACACCCACAGGAGGAGAAGAAATGTATTGCATAATGAATACAACTCTTAAAAGATAAAATATAAAATGACTCAAACGCCATTCAAATTTTGCTCATCTAGCAAAGATGTATTTCTGCTTTCATCACGAGTAGGGAGGCACCTAGCCTTGGAAAGCCCAGACAGAAGTGTGTCTCCATGAAAAGCTAACAAGTTGCCCAGACTCGCGCGCCCTTGTCCCGAACTCAAGCGGGCCACCCTGCGGGGAGCTGCCTTGAAAACCGGTCCAGCCCTGAAGTGTTCACATTGACTTTGCCCATTCGCTTCCATCCACAGCTCAGTTTGAAGCAGGACCGTGTCACCGACACGCCAGAGTTCCTTTCGATGGACGGAGGCTTTTGCTTGAGAGCTGCAATCCCGACGACCTCCAGGTCAGGACACCCAGAATGTTCTGGATCTTGACTGTGCTCCCCTTAGGCTTTCTCTCCTGACGCCGACAAGCAGAGTGCAGGACGAGGTTTGAAGTTCTGAAGGCAGGCTCGCCTGCAGGTGAGGGGACACTGGCCTGCGGAAGAGACGCATTTGACCTGTGCGGGCAAACGTCCTGAAACTCGGAGGGGGGTGCACACGCCTCCAGACCCAGCCGTTGGCGAGGCTGGGAGGGAGCCTGAGCCCAGGAGTTCGAGTCTAGGCTGGGCATGGGGGGGCGGCTAAAACTCGACTGCCACACACCGAGTTCCCCTACGGAGTCCGAGCGCCAGCTGGCTGCAGAAGCCTCAGACCGTGCGAGCGGCTCGCCAGAGAAAAGCAGACTCCACTCCAGACCGGGGACCGGCAACCGGCCCCCTCCGAGTGCGC